TACATAACAGAATTCTAGAGAAGAAAATTTGCCAGGAAAAAAAATTATATGGGTTTCTGTAGTGCAGGATCAATTCTAGTTATCAAAATTATGAAGCTATTTCCAATGAAGATCATTATGTACATTATGGAGAACAGTCCAAGTAGAAACACTTGGAGGTTGGGAAGGTCAGAAAATCCCAGGAGGAGAAAATGTGTCACAGTAGAAGCATTGTTCTCTAGCCTGACTTCTGTGTTTTGCATCTGTAGAGATAATTCAAGCAAAACCAAAAAGTATTTCCTTGTCCTTGCAATCTCTCATATTGAATATTAATACATTACAAAATAAGTATTACTTAATGAAATAAAAAATAAAAAATAAAAAATATTACATTGAGAAAATGCTGTGAATGAATATATATTAAATGAATGGAAAATGCCATATAAAACCTAACATTACTAAACTGTGGTTCCAAGAACAAAAACTACAACATAAGTTTATTTAAAAAATAAATTATAAAATATTTAAAATTCTTTTTCGGCTAGTTAATTAAATCTAGAAATAATTATACAGACAGCAACTGAAAAAGACAAGAACTTTTGTTCAAATTATTTCATCATAGATTCATAAACATTTTGAATGCTGCATTTGGTCATATAATTATTTCTCTCAAAAACTGTCTTCTCAGAAGTTTGAAAATATACAAATATAAAAGCCCTGATGTAATTGATTTATGAATAAAAGTTTAGTCCTGTTTCCAAAACATTAGAAAGCATTAACAAGGGTCTTACTTCTATCGTTGTAGGAAATTGTTTGGTTAATTTTTGTTCTGTTTTCTGATTTGGCTAGGGACCATCTCAAATTTTGCTTCATTCACATTCTTGGAAATGGCCATTTAAAACTGAATTTTAAAAGGTATTGGAACTACACTAATCTATTCAGTTCAACTTATCTAGTTTTTCTGTGATGCTGCACATGCAAACCAGGCCTCATACATTGTAGGCAAACATTTTGCTACCATATTATTCCCTGAGCTCTAGTGTCTGCAAATCTTGTTCTGTAAAATATTTGCTTTATTGCTATTGTTCCAAGTGTTGAAAACATTTAGAACACACAATTCATACTCTAAGATTAAAGAACACCCCTAGTGTTTTTGTAAATATATATATATTGTTGTTTAGTTCAGTTACTTCGTGGATATGTATTTTTCATTTCCTTTGAAAGATTATTGCTTTTTCTACAGTTACTCTAATGTTAACTAATGCATTTATCATGGAAGAGTATATAGGGTTTCCATTTCTCTGACCAAATTTATCAAAAAAAAAAAAAGGGGGGGGATAAAAGTTGAAAAGGCATATTTAGTAACATGAATTCAGAAAGGTTTTTCTCCTGGCAAAAGTCACTAAAGACACATGTAATTAATATAATTCTATAATATTTTAATATTTAGTTACTGGATTTAATCATTAACTACTAGCTAAAACTTTGACTATAGTAGATAGAGATAATGTTTATAAAATGCTCATTTTTGATCCTCTTAAATTTAGATTCATTAAACTATCATCTTCAACTAATTCATATAAATAAATAACAGATGAATAACTGAAATAAAAGTTTCTTAAATAAGAAATAATACCATTAAATGTATAAAATATGTTAACATATTTATAAATATCAGCACATATTGATATTTTTTCTTTTATATATTAGTTTTTATACTAAAGCATATTTTACGTTGTTATTCTGTGATCTATTGTAAAATGGCAGAAAAGTAAATGATTGAAACAAGATTTGAAAAAAATTACAAAATCCTTTTTCAATTACTTTATTCAAATCCCTGTCATTGTGGTCCTTAAAAAGGGAGATAAATAATAGGTATATTTGATATGAGTCAAGTGTAGTTTGAGCTTATGTTTTATAGCTAAGTTAAATATAAATCTTACCTTTATGAGTTAGTAAAAGAAAATGATAAGTGAACACAGTTTTTAAGTCTTAAAATCTTACTTTATGTTTAACATGCATAACGCTTGCAAGCATTAATTGTAATGTGAGGCACACAGTAGTGCTGTTTAAATAGGAAATGATATTCACCTCTGGGGATAAGTACCTTTCCCATTATTACATTCTATTTGAAGACACCTACTTGTCTTCAGCTTAAAGTTTGACATAAGTATATATAAATGAAATGATAAAGTAAAATGAAACTCATGAAAAATATTCCTTTTGCAGATTTTGTTTTGTTTTTCAGTTTTGTGATTATTAAGAAGAGTGAATATTGTCAGGCAGTGGTGGTGCATGCCTTTAATTCCAGGACTTGGGAGGCAGAGGCTGAGGCATGCAGATCTCTGAGTTCATGGTTAGCAGCCTGGTCTATGGAGTAAGTTCTATACCAGCCAGAGCTGTCTAAAACAAACAAACAAACAAACCAAAGAAGAAATAGAGAGAAAAAAAGAAAAAAGAATATTGAGATAAAAATAAATTGCCACTGATATCTCTCTGTGTGTCAACATGTGCCTATATAGCTCCATGTCAGGGCCAGAGTATCAGTGACAACAAGGAAGAGTAAGAAGGTAATTGATGCTGACATAGGCACAATGCATACTGATGTTCTCATCATCATTCATACTTCTATTTTTATGCATATATGATGTGACTGTTTTTATCAAAAAACAGTATGTTTTTTTTTTTTTATAAAGTTCAGTTTTCTTCACTACTTTTATGTATTTTATATCTCCACAGGGAATTTTAAATAAACAATTTGTCAATATTCATTGCAAAGCTACTTGTCAATATTCTTATTATTTGTTTTCTTAGATTTTTCTCATAGTTACATTTTTAGAACATTTATATTATATAATAGCATCATTTACCATACAGAAAGATTCACCTATAAACAAACATGTGCTATACTTTTTTGGCACTATACTTAATACATAGTCTAATGAATTAGAAATGCCCCAATGAGAATTTTAAGTAATTATGCATGCAAGTAACTAGAATAAACCTTATAGTTTGTATGAGGTCCTTGCTAAGAATCTCATCACTACAAAAACTGACAAGAAACCTTGGGCTCTTGTGTTAAAAATGATCTCTTTGGAGAGTAATTTTAAACCAAAATAGGTAGATGAGTACATCTATGTTTTTGCACACATCTTTAATCTAATGTCCATGTCTACTGTATGCACTTGTTTTCTGTAGATGTGATAAAGACCATGATACAAAGCAACTTATTGGAGAGAAAGCTGTATTTGTCTGACAGCTCACCTAATAGTTCATCAAGGAAGAAACTTAGACTAGGGACTTATGCAGGAACTTGGAGCCAGGAAGTACTGTTAACTGATTTATTTCCGATGATATGCTCATCTACTTATATAAAACCCATGTCCATGGGGCTAACGTAGCATGACAAACAGCAGAATGGAGCATCATAAATCAATAAGAAGTGAATAAAATGGTCCAAAGACAAATCCAGGTTCCCCCTGATAGATCTATTCCTTAAACAAGACCCCACATGTGTCATGATTGAAACTGGTTTGTGGCAAGCTGACAAAAATAGTAATATACCTATTTTGTTTTTTAAAGCCCACCTTGACTTAACTTGTAAAAGAGAATTACATAATTTGTGGTAATGTAACAGGATTTTGGTTAGAAGATTGTAATCATTCCCAGTGTGTACTCTGCTTGATGCCTATGTTTTGATATTAGAATTATCAAATCCTCCTGTAGCCATTGCTTTTACATCATGGACACTAAACCACTATACTAGTATGCCTGATCAATAGCTTTCTTTTATACATACTGTATTTTTGAAAGTTAATACTGGTTATTTGGTAGTAATACAGAACTGTCTTTCACCATTAACAAATAAACTTTTATTTGGAAGTAATTACCATTGTAAAAACAAGACAAAAGTCACACACTTAAATGAGAATGCTCCTGGAAATGATACACACACATACAAAAAACAAATATAAAACCACATCTTCCAATTTGTCATTCTAAATTCTAGTTAATTCTTTGCATTATAACTTCCTCACTGTCATTATTGTATTCTTTTTCTCTTGAGGATAAATATTAAGATCACAATATCAATACCACATCAACCAGATTCAATTAACAGATGCAGCAGATTTAGGGGCAATAAGGAGTCAGTGGCAATTTTTTTAAGACTGTAGACATTCTTTTACATTAATAGAAAATTATTAACATAAATTGAAACATGAAAAATATATGGAATATATGAGCAATCTATGTCAAGATCATGATGGAGATATATAGAGAGACAGCTAAACCAAGATTGTGGAAATTCATGAACTCTAGACCTACAATTGTGGAGACGAGGCCCTCTGTATGTGGGAGACAGTCATGAAGCTTGGATTAGCCAAGGGACCTGTGGAAGTAAGATTACCATATAAGCCTGGTACATGAGCTAGTTTGTTGTAGCTCACTCCCTATGCTGGGATTCTATGCTCAGTATTAATGCATCGGAGGGGGGCCCGCTCCAGTCCCAACTGATTGTGTCAGACTATGGTGACTCCTCATGAGAGCTCTTACTTATGAGGAGGAGTGGAGAGGAAAGGCAGTTGGAGGAAGAAAGACAGAGCAGGAGGAGGTGTTGTGAGGAGAACTGATAATTAGTGTCAAATTAATAAATTTAATATTTTTAAAACTTAAAAAAATATAGCAGCAAGGAAGACCACAATCTCATTCACAAAGATGTCTGTACAACACAAGTGAATCAGGGAGGGAGGGAATATCGAAATAACAAAGGAAATATCTTCAAATCTGTCCAAGAAATCATCTGCAAATCTACCATATGTAAACAAGTGTTCTACTGGCCTAAGAGTCAACTACTTGCTGGATGTCCAAGTTAGACATCAATTACTAGAGATTAGCAAAGAGGGATACAGAAGGCAGTGTAGAAGTAGATAGAAAGTGGCACCCTGTGGCACAGAGCTAAAAGTTTCCTTGTGTCACATGTAGTTAAAGTACTTTAGACAACAGTGCAGATAGCCATTCTGCTATATTTTAAATAATAATTTTCTAAGTGCAGCAATCATATCCCTGTTCCTAAGACTATATATCAGGGGGTTGAACATGGGGGTCACAATCGTGTAGAACAGAGAGAGCAGTTTGTCAGTTCCTGGAGAATGTGTGGACTTGGGCCTTAAGTAAGTGACAGTAGCTGATCCAAAAAACAAAAACCACCACAAGCAAATGAGAAGAACATGTGGAAAAGGCTTTTGCTCGTCCTGTGGCTGTTGGCACCTTCAGAATTGTGCCAATGATTTTGCTATAAGAAGCAAGTATCAACATAAAAGGGACTGCAGCAAACAGAATAGCCACTAAGTAGACAGACAGCTCATTAATAAAGGTGTCTCCACAAGCCAACTTGAGAATTGGAGGTAAGTCACAGAAGAAGTGGTTAATTTGGTTATAATTGCAAAAATGTAGAGAGAATATCTGATAGGTTTGTCCTATCTGGACAGGGATGCCACTGAGCCATGAACCTGCTGCAAGCTGAGTACACTTCATTGGGTTCATGATCAAGGGATAGTGCAGAGGGTTGCAGATAGCCACATAGCAGTCATAGAACATCACAGCCAGAAGGAAACACTCAGTGGCTCCCAGCATAAGGAAAAAGCATGTTTGTGTGGCACAAGCTAGTTCAGATATACTTCTATTTTGAGTACCAATGTTGAACAGAATCCTAGGAAGAGTGACTGATACATAACAGATTTCCAGAGAAGAAAACTTTGCCAGGAAAAAATACATGGGTCTCTGTAGTGCCTGATCAAGCCTGGTTATCACAATTATGAAGCTATTTCCAATTAGGATAATTAAGTAAACTAAGAAGAACATTACAAACAGAAACCCCTGGAGGTTGGGAAGGTCAGAGAAATCCAGAAGGATGAATTGTGTCACTGTGGAGGCATTGTCCTCTGCCCTCATCTCTGTGTGATCCATGCTTGGAGATGATACATTCAGAAGTGCAATTCATGTTACTTCATTTGGTTTTCTTAATGCAACATATAAGCTACAGATACCACCCTGCAAACTTTCTAAAATATTAAAAAGATACACATCCATCTTACATATTTTTAAAATGTTTAGAAAGTATGTTTCTTGCTATCAGGGTATGTAGAGAAATTTTTTCAGCATTTTTTGTTTATTTTTACTCTTATCATTGTTGGTTTTCTTGGATTATTATGGATTAGAATATAGTCTCTGCTCTGGGAATAAATTCCTTCCTAAGCTACTTCCTAATTGAAAGAAATGTTTCTCTAGGAAAATGTCCAGAGATCTACAGGGATGATGTCAGCTAACAATATAATCAATATTGGAGAGGCTACCTTAAATGCTCTTCAAAAATAATAAGATTGATGACTACTATATAGGCCATCCTAGAGCTCTCTCATACAGTAGCTGATAGAGCAGAAGCAGACACTCACAACTAAACAATGAGCAGAACTGCTGGAACCAAGTTGTAGAGCGGGAGGAATGATGGACAAAGGGGTCAAGAACAGGCTAGAGAAACCCACAAAAACTGCTGACCTGAACAAGGGGGAGTTCATGGACTCCAGTCTGATAGCTGGGAAAAGCAGCATAGGACTCAGACTCCCTGAGTGTGGTTTTAATTGGGAGGACTAAGCAGTCTATGGGACCTCTGGTGGTGGATCAGTATTTATCCCTAGTATATGAATGAACTTTGGCAGCCCATTCCACATAGAGAGATACTCTGTCAGCCCAGATACATGGGGGAGGACCTAGTCCTTGCTTCAAGTGATATGACAGACTTTGAAAATTCCCCATTGAAGGCCTCACCCTTCCTGGGGAGCAGAAAGGGTATGGGATGAGGGGAAGGGGAGGACAGGAGGGTGAGAAAACTAGGATTGATATGCAAAACAAGCTTGTTTCAACTTTAAATAAAAAAGTTAGTAAAAAATAGAAATATATTTCACAATGAATCATGGAGATAAGCAATGCAAACAAAACAAAACAATAACGAAGATACCTAGAGAAAACCACTTTTATAGTCTAAATATATTTTCTCTATTTTGTGATTATGAGTGCTACGAATGGGGTGCATAACTGCAACCCCAGTACTTGGGAAGCAGTGGCAGGAAGATGATAAATTTGAATCCACTTAGGGCTTTATAGTAAAACTTTGTTCTAAGTAAATAAGTAAATGAAACACTAAATGAGTTGGAAGAATATTTTTATTTCTCAAAACAGAACTAAAAACAATGAAAACATCAGAACTTGGTTACTAGTTTATGTAATATTGTTCATTTGTTGGGCAACTGAGTCTTTTTGATAGTCTGGATGCTCTAGCTCTCCCTTTGTATATCCATAAGCTCTAAGGATTGTGATGATCTACCTGCTTCTGCCTCCCATTCCTGAGATCAGTGTCAACCACCAGTGCACTTCACTGCATGCACATTTTATATATTATATTAAGAATATTGACAAACATCTGGATTTATAGGGTAATCATCTAGATGACAGTAAATGTACAAGAGGTCCTGACATCTTTGCCCAAGACTGATACCTTCAGCCTGTTTCCCAGTTCTAAACCCTCATTCATTGCATTCACTTTATTGTTCTAATAGCTATAGGAAGAAGAGAAGGAACAGAAAGGCTCAATTTCATAATGTGGGTGTGTGAACTGAGTGTTATGTAGAATTTCCAGGACTAATCATTCATGAAAAATGCAGATACAAAATGACAGCAGTGAAGTTAAGAATAGATAGTACCATTTTGAATTTTACTCTGTGTAGACAACTGAGACTCCTCAGTAAGAAATCAACAAGTGGGTTCACATGTACCAACCCAAAAATCCATTTACTTCCTACTTAGTGCCCCACCAAGGACGCCTCAGGTTAATAATGAAGTAATATAAATACTTTCTTTAGGCTCTATAGATGCCCCTGTACAAATACATGTTGATGTGTCAAATTTTAGCATAGGAGAATATGAGAATATTCCACCAGATCCTAAAATATTAATGCAGGCCTAATGTTTTAGATAAGAGAAATGAAGATAAGCACCTTAAGATCATTATTTTTCATCATGAACCTTGACACATTTCATATTTATTAACAGTTTTGAGTAATACTTGACTTAACAGTAAACATTAATATTCAGAGGGCAAATATATTTATTTTTTTAAAGTTTATTTTTTTCATTTATATGTATAAATGTGTGCATATGTTCACTGAGGGCAGAAGAGGAGACATGAACATCTGGAGCTGAAGTTAAAAGTGGTGTTAAGCAAATTTGTGTGGGCATGTGAATAAAGAACCCATCATCTTGAAGAAAGGCAACAAGAGCTGTTAACTGGTGATGCATCCCTTCAACTTCCAATAACAACCTCTCCCCAGTTATTAATAATACTAACGAAGAAGAACAGATGTAAAAAGAGGCATTTAATTTTAACTTTCCCAAAATTCTATCTCAGGTTCAGAGGCATAAAACAATGTGGAAAGTCTTTAAAACAATTAAGGAATAGAGGGAATTCATATGAATAAACAGACAAACAGAGAAATGGTTGGAAGGAAGAAAGCAAAAGGAGAAAACAGTATAAATATATTTAATTTCAAAAATAAAGAATATTTTAAAAGTAGTTATTACTGACTTCTACATCCTTGATGATCACATTTTCTATTTACTTTTGTTTAAACTTTATGTAACAATGTCAAAATAACATTCCTCAACTGTTGGTAGGAGTGCAAACTTGTATAGCCATTTAGGAGATAAATATGACATTCCTCAGAAAAATGGAAAAAGTCTACCACAGGACCTGACAATTCTAATCTGAGGCATAGACCAAATGATTCAGCCTAAAATTCATATCGCCAGAGAAACTAGGATACAAGAAATGTGAGAGATTCATGCAAGGTCCCTCACAGAAGGGGAAAGGAACAAGATCTCCTGAGCATATTGGGAGTGGGGAGGCAGTGAGTGGAGATGGAGTTAAGAGAAAGAGAAGGGGAGGAGAAGAGAACAAGTGGGACAAGGAAGATTGAGTCAGGGGATGAAAAGATGAGAGCAAGAAAAGAGATAGCATAATAGAGGGAGCCATTATAGGGTTGAAGAGAAAACTGACTCTAGAGAAATGTCCAGAGACCTACAAGGATGACCCCAACTAACAATATGAGCAACAATGGAGAGGCTATCTTATATACCCATCCCTGATATTGAGATTGATAACTAACTTATATGATGTCATAGGCCCTCATCTAGTAGCTGATAGAAACAGAAGCAGAAACCCACAGCTAAACACTGAGGCAAATTACTGGAATCCAGTTACAGAAATCCATAGAGACAGCTGACCTAAACAAGGGAGAGCTCATTGACCCGCAAATTGATAGCTGGGAAACCAGCATTGGACTGACTCAGACTCTCAGTTAGAAGGTGTGCACAGTCTAAGGGACCTCTGACTGTGGAATCAGGATGTATCCCTGGTACATGAAAGGACTTTGGGAACACATTCCCCATGAAGGGATACTCCCTTGGCCTACAGGCAGGAGGGAGGGCCTAAACCCTACTCCCAATGACTTGACAGATTTTGTTGATTCCTCTTTGAAGGCATCACCCTCGCTGTGGAGTCAGGGGGGTGAATGGTAAGGGAGGTGGGATTGGGGGTCATGAGAGGGAGGGAAGTAGGAAGGGAGGGAGTGGAAACTGGGATCAATATGTAAAATAAGAAAAAAATTATATATATATATATATATATATATATATATATATATATATATATATATATAGTCACAATAAAACCAAATTGCTGTAGCCACTTTAGTATCTGAGGAGGAAATAGACTTCAAACTAAAACTAATCAGAACAAATATCAAAGGAAAAATCCACAAAGAACATGTCACAACTGAAAATATCTAGGCAACAAACACTAGGTCACCTAAGTTCATAAAGGGAACATGATTGCAGCTGCAACCACATAATGCCCTTCACACAGTGAGACTGGCTGTCTCAGTACACCGCTTTTGCCAAAAGAAAGATTACCCAGACAAAACATAAAATGGTGGAATTAAATGACGTCATAAACTAAGTAGACAGAATATTTTTTCAAACACAGAAGAAAATCCTTCTTCTAGGCATGTCATGGAACTGTTTCTAGAGTAGTGTTATTTTTGTGTGTGTGTGTTTGTATGTGTCTTCTTGTGACTGTGTGTGTCTGTCTGTTTGTGTTTGTGAATTTAATAGGAATTTAAGTCCCCCATCACTTGTTTAAAAGTTTGAGGACAAATTGAAATAGTATGAATGCTTCAGTAATAATGTGGCTTCCAGGGATAATATACATTTCATCAACCATGGCAGTCAGAGTCTTTACACACAGTTGAAATTAACTTTACTACATAGTTGTAAAACCATTGTATCTGTGTATAAATGAGGTATATAAAATTTAATGTAGTTATTATATTAGAATAGGTGGTACAAAAATCTACTTAAGTTAATTGTATCAAATGATCTTTTGGAATGAGTTCCTAATAAATATAGATGTAAAGATGAAATGTATTTAATTTGGATATATATATATATATATATATATATATATATATCTCAAGACATACTTGAAGAAATAAATTTCTCTCAACATTACAAAGAATTTTTTGTAGTTATCATTAGTGTAGAAACTGATAAGATAAATAGTTAAAGATAGATATCGCTGAAGACTTAATTACAGACACATACAAAGCCATATTTACAATATAAGTTATATTATCTTTCAGTAAATTGCTTGCATAAGATTTTTCTTAATGCTATTGTGACATCCTTGTTTCTTAGACTGTATACCATGGGATTAAACATAGGAGTCACAATGGTATAGAAAAGAGAAAGCACTTTGTCAGTTTGACCAGAATGACTAGTATTAGATCTAAAATATGTAATCATAGCTGATCCAAAAAACAAAATAACAACTGCAAGATGAGATGAACAGGTGGAGA